GAATAAATTCACAAACAAACAAATTAAGTACACAAACCAGCATAAAACATATATATACGAACCCCGAACACATTTCTACTAAATAAAATATAGCGCCGGGGGGAAAAGTGGTCTCTCGAGAGAACACCTTGGGAAGGGCGCGCGGTGTCTCCCGGGAGCCGTCAGCAAGAAAGCGATAAGTGTGGAGATGCGCGCGTGGAGCAAGAAAGTGTGGAGAACGCGAGGTTATGCATAGAAATGGGGGTGCCCTCGGTTTCGTTTTGGGTTTCCACACGCGGCGCCCCAAACTGACAGTTGAGTACGTTAGCGGTTAGAGCTTTCAGCTTAGAGAAGCGACGCAAGAGCGATGTGTCGGATGCCGCCGTGGAAGCACAGCCTGGCCCACAACCGCGTCGAGTTCGTCACTCGGGGCAGAAGACGAGCACCTCGTTGAGCAGCTTCGCGTCGGCGAGCGAGAGGCCTCCCTCCTAATCAAAGAGCCACTCCGCGAACTCATGAGTGGAGTGTAACTAAAAGGGCGGGCCACAAGCCTCCCCCTCCTCGAGCGGCTTTGGCGGGAAACCTCCCTTGAGCGAGAAGGCGACGCCTGCGGCGAGGAGCGTGAAGAGGAAGTGTGGAGAAGCTAACGGCGCGAAAGCCACCTCTGCTGAGCGTGTCGGCGGTACCGGGCGCGAGAGAAGCAACGTGCCGCTTCAGCTGGTCGACTGTGTGTGTGTGGTTCGCCTTGATGACCGCCTGTTCACAACCGCGCGCTGTGAAGAGACGCCGTTCACAGCATGTCGGGCCGCCAGCCGTGAAGAGGGCCTTGCTTCCGTCCGCCATGCGGACCTACAGCAGCACCAATAACACTAGTTAGCACACCTTTTTAGCACTAGCACCTCCCATCCTTCCGCCATGCGGACCTACAGTAGCACCAATCAGCACTGACGCACCCCTTTAGCACGCTGCTCCTCCGCCATCTGCGGACCTAAAGCATGAAATCAACACTAACTAGCACTGCGTAGCACAGCGCTGCTTCTCCGCCATCTGCGGGCCCGCAGCGTGGTTGTGGGCGACGCCTCGTCGACGACAATCGGCTCGGAGGGCGTGCGGGCCTGCGGAGATGTCTCGGCTGTCTCTCGGCTGTCCCTCGGCTGTCTCTCGGCTGCCTCTCGGCTGTCTCTCGCCTGCCTCTCGGCTGTCTCTCGGCTGTCTCTCGGCTGTCTCTCGGCTGCCCCTCGGCTGCCCCTCGGCTGCCTCTCGGCTGCCTCTCGACTGTCTCTCGGCTGTCTCTCGGCTGTCTCTCGGCTGCCTCTCGGCTGTCCCTCGGCTGTCTCTCGGCTGTCTCTCGGCTGCCTCTCGGCTGTCTCTCGGCTGTCCCTCGGCTGTCTCTCGGCTGCCCCTCGGCTGTCTCTCGGCTGTCTCTCGGCTGCCTCTCGGCTGTCTCTCGGCTGTCTCTCGGCTCGCCTGCCCCGCGAGCTCCTGCGAGAGAGAGAGCGCCATCGCCAGCTGCTCCTCCTCGCTGAGGTCGGCAACCTGGCGCCGGGCCATCAAGCATGCATCCGTAATTACTGCACGAGGGACTTTTATGGGCTTAGTGAGGATTGCTTAAGTACTACGGTTACTCGATCGTGGAGAATGGCCGTAGGGAGTACTTAAGCTAATTATCATCAAAGCAGCCTGACACCGGGGCATCAAGCATGCGGTAGACGATTAATGCACGAGGGACTTATGGGCTTAGTAAAGATTACTGAAGTACTAATGATCAAAGCGAACTGGCGCCAAGGCATCAAGCATGCATTTGATGAGTACTGCACGAGGGACCCATGCACTCGTTAATCGCCCATTAACTCTTTCAGCGACCTCCACGTATGCACACATCAATTAGTTATTAATTAAAAAGCGACCTCCGCCGGCGCGGGCCGCTTGCTGCCGCCGAGCGACCGCCCCTGCCCCGAGAACGCCTCCACCTATCAGAACATAATGATAGATTAAGAAACTTGCTGATACTGCCCTGCCCCGAGAACGCCTCCACCTATCAGAACATAATGATAGATTAAGAAACTTGCTGATACTGCCCTGCCCCGAGAACGCCTCCACCTATCAGAACATAATGATAGCTTAAGAAACTTGCTGATACTGCCCTGCCCCGAGAACGCCTCCACCCATCAGCCATGACTCTGAAGCTCTTTCAGTCTGCCAACCCCTGCCCCAGGACAAGGCCTCACCCTGTTGATGGCTCGTCGAAACCTCACCAACCACTCACTCCGAACTGCCCCAAGAGCTAAGAATGGCCTGCCCTCCTCCCCCTGTGGCGCCTCCCGCCATCTCTATGCCACATGCCCGCCACCTCTCGGAGACCTCTCTTCCACAAACCCCACCACCTCTCGGCCATCTCTCGGCTACGCCTCCACCTTCGGCGCCTCCTGCCGCGGCGCCGCGTTGCCAAACGTCGACCCTACTCACGGCACCGCGCCTCGCCCCTGCCCCTTCCCCCTCAAACATCTCCCTCCGCGCTACTGCAGTCGTCGCGCCGCTAAACTCGGCGGGCTCGTTCGGGTCGCGGGGCGGGCTCGCGGGGTCGACCCAGTTCGAAGGGGGCGCCCCCTAGGAAGGAGGAGGCATCGAGGGCTGGTTGGCTAGTCCCGCGTCCACACCCACCGCGCTGGTGCCCGGTCCGAGCCAGACCGTTCGTCACACCTGTCTACCTACACCTAAACCTCTAGCTCGTGGTGCAAGGACTAGTTGATGGGCGAGAGAGGGGTGTGAGGACCTCGGCCAGATCTCGGCCAAATCTCGGCCAGATCTCGGCGGATCTCGGCGGATCTCGGCCGCCTGATTGCGCGGCGCGGGCTGCGGCCAGCGGTCTCCTATTCGCCACACAACGGGGGAGGCTAGGGCGTGCGAGTCGGCAGCAAGGCAATGGCGGTGCGGCTGCTGGTCCATTCCTTTGACGACAAAGACTGTCCAGTTGTCCGAGGCGAGGTTGCGGAGCTCGGAGCTGTGAACGGGGCAGGTGGGGAGAGGCTAGCACAGCGAGGAGGCGGCGGAGGTGTCGCGGTTTGAAGAGCGCCGAAAGAGCTGTTGAGACGTCGCATCTCCCACATCTCCCCACATCTCCCCCATATCTCCCCGCCTCAGGCCCGAGAAGTTGCCGCTCGACGTGATCCGCTCAGGCGCCATCTGGGTCGAGTTGCACGACCACCTGTTCACACCGGCAGCTGTGAAGAGAGCCAAGGCGTCCCGCGGCTCTGGCGGTGAACACGCCCACCTGTTCACAGGCACAGCTGTGAAGAGACGCCGCCCACGCAGCGGCGTCTCCTCGGCGCGTGGCCACCACTGGTTGTTGAGCTTGCGGAGGCAGTACCAGTGCGAGTGCCGGTTAAGCACGAAGCCCGTCTGCGCGTCCGGCGACTGCATCAGGCTCCGGTTCTCGGGCCGGCGCGAGTCCTCGAGCGCGAGACCAAACACGTTCTGCAGCGCCTGCGAGAGGACCTGGATGGAGAAGTTGCCCGACGCGTCGACGTTCGACGAGTCCTCGCTCATGAACGCGCGCGCCTCCGCCGTCATCCCCGCCTCGAGCATCAGCTTCCGCTCCTGCTGGTCGAGCGCGGTCGCGATGTCGGCGAGGTCGCCGGCGGTGAAGTGCGGGCCCTGGAGCAGGTTGTTGAGGCAGTGCTGGCCGCAGAGGGCGGCCTCCTGCCGCTCGTGGTAGAGGTAGACCATGCGCGGCGGCTGAGAGGAGGAGAGAGGCGAAAGGCTGAAAGAGGCGCCCGGCTCGCGAAAAAGAAATTTGGCATCCCGTGTGTGTCGTGTTCAGGGTGGGCGACGGCTAGCGCATCACACCCCTCTCCTTAAAATCCCTGTGTGGTGGCGGCGTGCCGTCCTCCCATCCCTCCCTTGGGTTGTCTGTTTTCTTTCTTTCTTCTTCAGGTCTGGTGTATCACACTCCTCTCCTTAAAATCCCTGTGTGGTGGCGGCGTGCCGTTCTCCCATCCCTCCCTTGGGTTGTCTGTTTTCTTTCTTTCTTTCTTTCAGGTCTGGTGTCCATTATAGCTCCAAGAAGAGGGGGCGGTCTGCTGCTAGGGGAAACCCGGAGCGCGGAGCCAACCCTCGGAGACCCGTGTTTACTTTACGGCCCTTTCCCTGCGAACGCGCACTCCCCCTAGGGGTCAGGGCTCTCTAGCCCGTAGCCCGATGCCGATCATCCGGCCCGCTGGGTGCGCTTCTTAGCTCCCCGGCCCTGGATGTGAGGTTACCGACTGCACTCCAAGTGCTCCAAGTTACTGAGTCGAGAGGCAAATCCATGCAGTCTGTGTGCTGCATGCTACAAGAGCGTGTCACACATGCTACAAGAGTGTTTCCCCCCTAACTGCAGGACGTGAGTGAGTGAGTGAGTGTGTGTGTGTGTGTGTGTGTGTGTGTGTGTGTGTGTGTGTGTGTGTGTGTGTGTGTGTGTGTGTGAGTGTGTGTGTGTGTGTGACACACTCACAGGACCCGCCTCCTGATAGTTTTTCTGAGGGCGCCTTCGTTGTTAATAATACAACCCAATGGTCCCTTGCGAGCGGTCCTTTGTTGCAGTCGCACACACGCACACGCCACGCGCCCACTGCCCCGCCCAGGCGTGCAGAGTTTTTCTTATATTCGGCGCTTTTTGTGTCTCTCATCATGTTCTCGCCGCTCATGCCGGCGCTCGTCAACGTTGGGTCCGAAGAGATAGTGTTGACGGGCTCCATGTTCGAGGCGGGATACACCGTCGAGCGCGAGGGGCGCGGCGCCATGCGGTACGGCAACGGCGACTATGCGGGCGAGTTGCAGGAGGGTCGGCCCGAGGGACGCGGCGTCTGGGGGAGTTTCGGCGGCACCGTCTACGAGGGCGAGTGGAAGGCGGGTGTGCGCGAGGGGCGCGGCGTCTACCGGCACGCCGACGGCAACGTCTACGACGGCGAGTGGAAGACGGATAAGAGGGAGGGGCGCGGCGTCGAGCGGTACGCCGACGGCACCGTCTACGAGGGCGAGTGGAAGGCGGACGAGAGGGAGGGGCGCGGCGTTATGCGGTTCGCCAGCGGCGACGTTTACGAGGGCGAGTACGAGGCGGACATGCCGCAGGGGCGCGGCGCCATGCAGTACGTCAACGGCGATACCTACGACGGCGAGTGGAAGGCGGGCAAGAGGGATGGGCGCGGCGTCTACCGGTACGCTGACGGCAGCGCGGATACGGCCTTCTACAAGCAGGAAGCGAAAGTCGGGGAAGGATTGTATCTGACGGCGACGACCGCGACCCGCCTGCGAGACGGGAAGGGGGTTGCGCTCATCTCGCTGGAGGAGGCGCGGCGGACCGTCAAACGGCTCGGACTCCCCCTTCCGTCTCCGTTTCCCACCACCGACGGCACCGTCTACGAGGGCGACCGGTACGAGCTGAGCCATGAGCACGCTGCCGAGGTGAGCAACACGAAAACTTGCAAGGGCGGGGAATTCAAGCAGGGGGAGTACGAGGGCGAGTACAACGCGGCGGGAGAGCGCGAGGGGCGCGGCGTCATGCGGTTCGCCGACGGCGACATCTACGAAGGTGAGTGGAAGGCGGGCTTGTTTGAGGGGCGCGGCGTCTACCGGCACGCAGACGGCGGCGTGGATGCAGTCTTCTTCAAGCAGAGCGCACCCGTCGGCGAGGCTGTCCGGTGGATGGCGGACGGGCAGCGGGCGGCGCGGCTGCGTGACGGGAATCTGGTGGAGATGATCTCGCTGGAGGAGGCGCGGCGGACCGCCGAGCGGCTCGGATGGCTCGGACTCCCCACATCCCCTCTCGAGGAAGCTCATTTGTTCTAAGTCTGAAGTCTGAAGTCTGTAGTCTGGACGAGTCACCTTGGCGACGGCCGACGGTGTGAATAGGCGGTAGCGAATTCTTCTTTAGTGCGCGCCCCAGTCCCTGACCAGTGTTGTGCGATCTGTGAAAAAATCCTCGCGCAGGACCGCGGGAAATTATTTCTTTTTTTGAGCGCGTACAGACTGCCATGCAGCTCCCTCCGGACTTCTCGCTCAAGGCGCCCAAGACGCGCGACCCGCAGTCGCCCGCCGGCGCGCTGATGCGCCTCGGCGGCGGCTCCACTCCGACGCCGGCGCAAGACGCCTTCTCGCCCTTTGCCCGCCGCCCGCCCCGCGCTGCCGCCGCCGCCGCCGCCGTCGCCGAGGCGGCGGACGTACAAGCCGCCTCTTTCGGGCCGGAGAGCGGCGTCGGCGCGGTCCTGGGCGCCGGCGGCGCGACCGCCCACCTCTCTGTCCTCGCTGAGTACCCTCCGGAGGTGGCGGCCGAGATCCGGACGCGGCAGGTGGTCGGGAGCGCGCAGCCCTTCTCCCTGGGCGGCGGGGCGGCGACGGGCGGCTCGGCGGCCATGTCGACGCTCTGCTGGGCCGCGTACGGCCAGTCCCTCGTCGTGTGGCGCGGGGGGCTTCCCAACGCCTCGCACCGGCCACCGCCTCCGCCGGCCGGCTGCTCCGGTCTCGCGCTGCTGCACATTCAGATGTTAGACGCTGTGCACTGGTAGGCTCGCGCCGCCGTCCGCCGACTGCTCGGTCTCGCACGCGGCGCTGACCTGCGCGCTGGCGCCGCTGCGCGAGGAGGGCGGCGGCGGCACCGAGGCAGCCTCTCCCGCCGTAACAAATCATTTAAGAATTCACTCCATGATGCGTTGATAACACTTCATTTAATAACTCACACTCCATGATGCGTTGATAACACTATCATTTAATTAATTCACACTCCATGATGCGTTGATAACACTATGGCAAAGCAAGATTGAGATCAGAGTCATGAGACTACAGTGAGTAACGATCGCGTTCCTTGCCAACGCATCAGGCGCCTCTCTTGCTCGCCGTCTGGGCTGGCCAGGCGCGCAGGCCTAGAGCTTGTTCACCACTACACCCCTAGCACACCACATTGTGTGGCCTCGGCTTGGACGGCACTACAGCTAGTGTGCCACACGCACATACACACGCACATGCACGTGCACATGCACACGCACACGCACACGCACACGCACACACGCACGCACACGCACACGCACACACACACACGCACATACACACACGCACACACATGCACATGCAACATGCACACGCACATGCTGATGTGACGATGCCACGAGGCGTGTAGCCCAGGCGCGGGACGGCCGGCCGACGCACACACGAGAGCCGCTGGTCACTGAGATACTGACAAGTCGACTAGAGATGACGATAGTGCGATGGTGGGCGAGGCGCGGGACGGCGCGGCGCCCTGCACCGCTAGGATGTGACGTGTGTGATGTGACTCTCCCTCTCTCTCGATCTTCCAGGCGTGGGACGGCCGAGCGACCTACACGGCCGCGGCGTACTGCCTTCCCCCCCCAACCGACAGAGAGGCGCGAGGCAGAGCCGAGACACAGCCGAGACAGCAGCGAGGTGTCACCGAGGTGTCGCCGAGATGTCGCCGAGATGTCGCCGAGATGTCGCCGAGATGTCGCCGCCGAGATACAGCCGAGATACAGCCGAGATACAGCCGAGGTATCGCCGAGGTATCGCGCGCAGGTGAGGTGGACCCTGTTCACACCTCCCTCCGCCGCGGGGTGTGTGAACGCCCCCCGCCTCTTCACAGCGATGCCGCGGTTCGAACAGGTGGAAGCGTCACTCGCTCGAGGAGGAGGAGGCGGGGGCGGGAGGGCGGCCGGCCGCCTCGCCGCCCTCACCGCCGCCGCCTCCGCCCCCCTCCTCCTCGCCGAGGGACTAATCTCCCCCTCGAGCTCGCCGCGGCTAGGCGCTGATCATTGACGGCTAGTTCTTTTTCTTGACTAGGCGAATCTCCCCTCGAGCTCGCCGCGCCTTCACCCTCCTCCTCCTCCTCCTCCTCCTCCTCCTCCTCCTCCGCCTCGCGCGTGTGCGCCGCGCTGCTGTCTGTCTCTTCCCCCGCCGCCGGCGCCACCACCCTCTCCCCGCTCTCTGCCTCCGGCGCACACCGACGACGAACTGAGAGGTCCCCTCTCTTCCACCAATCAGGCTCTTCCGGCCTCTACCCTCTCTCAGTCTCCGGCAGCGAAGGCCTGCGCAGCGCCGTCCTCAGCGCGGGGGGCGGCGGGGGGGGCCTCACCCTCACTCCGCACCCCTCCGCCTCCTCCGCCTCCTCGGGCTTCCGGTCGCTTCTCGGCGCCGCACGCCGCCGCTTCCCTCCGCCTAACGCCTCGGCCTCCTCCCTCTGATGCGCCGGAGGGGGAGATTAGGCTCTGTCGCTTCCTACCTTCGCGGGGGAGGGGGAGGAGGAGGAGGAGGAGGAGGAGGAGGCGACGCGCTTCGGGGCGACGGCGGCGGCGGAGGCGACGGCGGCGGCGGCGCGCCCGTGCGGCTCGCGCCTTGCAGCGGCGGCGTGCTGGTGCTGCGCGGGGAGGGAGGGGTGGAGGTGTGGGGCGTGGAGGGGGGCGGGGGCGGAGGAGGAGCAGTCTTTTCCCTCGGCGCCTCCTGCCCCCTCCTCCCCCTCCTCCGCAAGCACCAGCGCATCGGAGGCGCGCCCGCCGCCGCCGTCTCCGTCGCCGCAGCGCCGGCTGCGGCGGATGGGCAACCGCGCCCCTCGCTGCTGTCCGCCGAATGGCTCAGTTCTGGTTGCTAATCAGTCAATTCTTAATTAGGACTCCGCGCGTCTTCCTGCTGGCAGCCTCCCTCCCCGCCGGAGGGAGGGAGGTTGCCCTCACCCTCTTCACCGTTTCGCTGGGCGGCGAGGGGCGCCTCTCCCTCGCCGCCCCCTCCGACGCCCTCCCCGCCTCCCTCGCCGCCTCCCTCCAAGTCTACCCCTCCCCCGCTGCGGAGCTCGCCTCCTGCTGCGACCACCTCAGCTTGCTCGGCGGCGGCGGCGGCCCCCTCCTCGTCGTCTCCTCCGCCTCCCTCTCCTCGCCTCGCTTCTCCGCCCCCTCCGCCCCCTCCGCCCCCTCCGCCCCCTCCGCCCCCTCCGCCCCCTCCTCCTCCTCCTCCTCCTCGGTCTCGATTGGTCTCGGAGGCGGCGGCGCGGCGCTGCTGCAGCGACACGTCCACGACGCGTCCATCACATGTCCGCGACACATGCAGGCGGCGGGGCGTGGCTGCTGCGCGACGCGACCGGCGCCCCCGCCCTCGCCAGGGTGAGCGGCGGGGGCGGCGGGGGCAGCGTCGCCTCCTCCCTCCTC